GGAGGAGGAGGAGGAGGAGGAGAGGAGGAGGAGGAGGAGGCGGGAGGAGGTGGAGGAGGAGGAGGGAGGGAGAGGAGGAGGAGGAGGATGGAGGAGGGAGGAGGAAGGAGGAGGAGGAGGAGGGAGGAGTAGCAAGGAGGCAGGAGGAGGAGGAGGAGGAGGAGGAGGAGGCGGAGGAGGAGGAGGAGGCGGAGGGGGAGGAGGATGAGGCCTTAGTGCTCCGCCCATTCGCTTTTTTCAAGATGTGCAGATGTTCATGGGTTCCGAGGGTTGACGTACGAGAAATCGTGCTGTGAAGCGAGTCAGGACTGCCAGGGCGCAATAGTTAAGGTGATTCGCAGTGTTCAAGTGTCAGGAATGGTGTTCTGGTGCGCTTCAGGATCATCAAGACGCAACAGTCAGGTTGACTCGTGGCGTCGAATCCCGAGGATGGTGTTTTGGCACTCTTCAGGATTTTTAAGCGGTTGTCTCTCAACGGGGCACTTCCCCCAGTGCAAATGAATCCTTGCAGGGGCCTGTGAGAAGGGAGCTTGGACCCAACATCGTTGATGAGTCCCGGGTTTGCACTGGTCCTCCTCCTCCTCCTCCTCTTACTCCTCCTCCTCCTGCTCCTCCGCCTCCTCCTCCTCCTCCTCCTCCTCCTCCTCCTCCTCGCCTCCTCCTATGTTCCTCCTTCTCCTCCTTCGCGCACCCAGTCTAGTCATCGCCGCCCCCTGTTTCATTTGTCCAGTCCTCCCTTTCCTTTGTCCACCTCCACCCCGGCCCTGTTCCTGGCCATCCTCCTCCTCCTCCTCCTCCTCCTCCTCATCCTCGTTCTCCTCCTCCTCCTCCTCCTCCTTCTCCTCCTCCTCCTCCTCCATCCTGCTGCCGATGCTGCTTCGTCTCACGATCCCCCCTTTTCGCTCGCTCGCTCGCCCGAACCACGGGCTGCTCGGTTCGTGGCGTGTCCTGGGCCCGTAGGAAGGGGGAGAGCTCACTTGTGGGGCAGCCCGGTCGTGCACGACAGCCGTGACATCAGGGGTCCCAGGAGGGAGGGAGGGAGGGAGGGAGGGAGGGAGGGAGGGGCGGGGGGAGGGAGAGGAAGGGAGGAAGGGAGGGAGCCTCAGACAAAAATGGGGCGCAGCCAGATCAGGGCAGGTGCGGATCCCACGGCCTTCATAACCCCACTGCACCATTTTCACAGGTGCGCGCTGCAAGCGACAAGCGGAAAGTGTCCGAGTTTGCCTCATCGGGTGACGCTGCCGTGGGACACAAACTTTCAGTGGTTATCAGCGTTGACCAGGCTCCTGCTGACAATCACGATTATGGAGCCCCTTTTCACATATATAAGAAAAAGGAGTCCAGCTGCATCGTCTCTTCAAATGCACCTACGTATAGCTCCCTAGCACTGACCAATCCTTGCGGCCCCAGGTCCGTAATCAACAGGCAAGTCAGCAAGTCATACAGGAAGCATTTGTGCCCCATGAGCTTTGGTCCTACGGTCATCCACTGGGCTCCATACTACCTGACGGCAAGCATGATCATGATTGAGCTCATAATTCATTCAGTCCCTCGTCCCCTAATGCCGTGGCTGATTGAGCTCCCTCTATTCCTCCTCCTCCTCCTCCTCCTCCTTGTCACCCCGTTCCTCTCCTCCTGCCCTTCTTCGTCCTCTTCTTTTCCTTTCTCCTTCTCCTGTTCCTTCTCCTCCTCCTCCTCCTCCTCCTCCTCCTCCTCCTCCCCCTCCCTCACACGCATGGCTGTGGCCTTCCGCACGTACAACATCATGCGGGTGCGCGCCGAGCTGGGCACGCCCGCCATCCACGACGAGCTCAAGTACCACAAGGAGGTGGTCGCAGCCGCCCGCCGCGTCCTGAGGCTGCCTCGGTGCCTCGTGGGCGGCGCGGGCCCGCTGCGCCTCTAACCCGCGGACACGCGCCCCCTTCAGCGCGTCGTTCGCTCCTCCCTCCTCCCTCCCGCCGCTCCTCCTGTTTTCTCCTCATCGTCAGTTTTCTGTTCCTTTTGGGTGCCCGTTTGAGGGGTTCCCCAGGGACCCCCCCCTTTTGGTAAAACATAGGATGCGATTCCACCGACCACACGCTATTCGCGGCGACGAGAATCGCGTATTCTGCGCTCACGATCACGCGTGAGGAAGGCTTCGGATCTACGAGACAGGCTCATCTGTTGCAGCGCCGGTTTCTCCTTCCTCTCCTCCTCCTCCTCCGCCTCCCTCCTTCGACTACACCTAAGAGTGACCCTTGGCCCAAGCCGGAGTGACCTCCTGTGCGGGCTCATCGGGGCCCCCCATCGCTGAGCGCGATGCCAGCGAGGTTACTTTCGCGCATGCATCAGGCCACATTGCGCCCCCTCCGTCCGCGCACCAAAGGCCGCCCCTGCCCAGGGCCGCTCTTGCGTGTAGCCGACTCCTGTGCAGTCGGCCGTGCACGGAGGGACGGGCGCCGCCGGCCGTGTGCAGAGGGAGGGGCCTCGCCGGCCGTGCACCCCTCTCTCCGCTCTGCCCTCTCCTCCTCCTCCTCCTCCTCCTCCTCCTGCATCCTCCTCCTCCTCCTCCTCCTCCTCCTCTTTCTCCTCCTCTCCTCCTCCCTCCGTTCGCTCCTCTCCTCCTCCTCCTCCTCCTCCTCCTCCTCCTCTTCCTCCTCCTCCTCCTCCTCCTCCTCCTCCCCCTCCTCCCTCCGGCAGAGGCGTTCTTCTCATCCCGCGGGGGGTCCCAGAGGTCTCTCGACCCCTCTCCTGGGGTCGCCCCTCGCCCCCTTGAAACAGGAGGAGGAGGAGGAGGAGGAGGAGGAGGAGGAGGAGGAGAGGAGGAGGAGGAGGAGGAAGAGGAGAGGAGGAGGAGGAGGACGAGGAGGAGGAGGAGGAGGAGGAGGAGGAGGAGGAGGAGGATGCAGGAGGAGGGAGGAGGAGGAGAGCAGGGGGAGGAGGAGGAGGGAGGAGGAGGAGACAGGAGGAAGAGGGGGAGTGCGCAGGTGTTGCGCAGGTCCTTCCTGGCGCCTGGCCATCCTGGGCCCTGGCATGGTGTATACGCCCTGCTGGCCGAGGCCAGGAGGGTATATGAGCATCTTCGAAGGGCCCAGGGTGGCCCTGGCCAGGCACGGTGGTGGTGCTTAGATGCCTCCTGCATGGGCCTTCGGAACAGCCCCCTGCAAGCTTCCGGAAACCTCTTCTCCCTCCTCCTCCTCCTCCTCCTCCTCCTTCTCCTCGTCCTCCTCCTCCTCGTTCTTCTCCTTCTCCTCCTGGTTCTTCTCCTCTCCCCTCCTCATGTTCCTCCTTCTCTTCCTTGTGCTGCTGCTTCCCCTCCTCCTCCTCCTCCCTTCTCCTCCTCCCTCCTCCTCCTCCTCCTCCTCCCTTCTCCTCCTCCCTCCTCCTCCCGTCTCCTCCCTGCTCCTCTCCCTCCTCCCTCCTTTTCTGCGGAGAGTCGGCCCCGCCGGCGAGGCGCGATGCGCGCTGCCAGCGACCCCGTGGGCGCGCGCGGGGGCGCCCGCCTGCGGTCTGCCGGCGGCCGTGCAGCGCCGCGAGCTGCACCAGGCTCGACGGCGTCGTCGTCGTCGTCGTCGTCGCCGTCGTCGTCGTCGTCGTCGTCGGCGTCGTCGTCGGCGTCGTCGTCGGTGTCGGCGTCGGTGTTGTCGTCGTCGTCATCGTCGTCGTCGTCGTCGTCGTCGCCGCCGCTGTCGCCGTCGTCGTCGTCGTCGTCGTCGTCGTCGTCGTCGTCGTCGTTGTCGTCGTCTTCGTCGTCGTCATCGTCGTGGTCGTCGTCGGCATTGTCGTCGGCCTTGTCGTCGTCGTCGTCGGTCTTGTCGTCGTCGTCGTCGTCGTCGTCGTCGTCGTCGTCGTCGTTGTCGTCGGGGAGGAGAGGAGGAGGAGGAGGAGGAGGAGGAGGAGGAGGAGGAGGAGGAGGAGGAGGAGGAGGAGGAGGAGGAGGAGGAGGAGAGGAGGAGGAGGAGGAGGATACGGAAGAGTCGTAGGAGGAGGTTGCGGATGACAATGAACATGATGAGGACGCAGACGATTAACATGCTGCTGCTCAGAATTCAGCTGCTGCTGTTGATGTTGATGCTGTTGTTGATGATGATGCTGCTGCTGCGAATGATGATACTGGTGATGCCGATGCTGCTGCTGATGATCATTATGATGATGATGCTGATGATGATGCTGATGATGATGATCCTGATGCTGCTGCTGATGATGATGATCATGATGCTGATGGTGATGGTGGTGATGATCGTGATGATCATGATGATCACGGTGATGATCATTGCGAGGTTGACGATGAAGCTGTTTGTGTTGGTGATCATGCTGTGGTTGACGATAAAGATGGTGTCTATGCGTATGCTATTGATGGTGCTAATTATGACAACGATGGTGGTGCTGCTGTTAATGATAAGGATGCGCATCGGTATGATCATGATAATGACGGGGGTGATGCCGATGCCGATGACGATGCCGAATGAATGAACACCACGGTGGCGATGATGATGAGGATGATGATGATGTTGATGATGATGCTGCTGCTGATGATGATGATGCTACTGCGGATGATGATGATGGTGGTGATGATGCTGCTGCTGATCTTGATGATGATGATGATGATGATGATGATGATGATGCGGATGCTGACGATGATGATGATGATGATGATGATGATGATGATGATGATGATGGTGATGATGATGATAACGATGATGATGATGATGATGATGATGATGATGATGATGATGATGATGATGATGATGATGATGATGATTGTATTGATGGTGATGTTGATTATGGTGATGATGCGCATGATTCGTTTGATGATGCTGCTTATGCCGTCGACGACGATGATGCTGATGATGATGATGTTGTTGTTGATGGTGGTTCTGCTGATGTCGATGCTGATGCTGATGCTTATGATGACGATGCTGATGACGCTCATGATGATGATGATGATGATGCTGATGATGATGATGATGATGATGATGATGATGACGATGCTGATTCTGATGATGCTGCTGCTGCTTCTG